ATGTTACTGTCATACAATTTATTCATTTTTGTGTGTATTAGTGTGTGTATTTTTAGGTTACAATTGTTTTATGGTACATGAGATAAAAGGGAGAATTTAGTCCGTAAATGTTACACGTGTTGCCCGTACCAAGGTTCGTGATGAAGAGATTGAATTTAACGTCCGTATTTCCGCAGGGACAGTTTTGGTTGCATGGAGTATTTTATTTTTTTATTTTTATTTATTTATAATAGCAATAATATCTCTACAGACTAACGATGAAAAATTCTATGTTTAAACCCACCCGGGGTCAATTGAAATACTGTTATATTTAAAATTGCATTCTTTCTTCTTTTTCAGATAAACATTTGAACATTTTCCAAAATACTCCTGTAAAATTTTCACTTTCCAAAGTTTTAGTTTAGGATTATATATTAGCCATGGAAAGAAGAATTCGTCAGTTCAAACTGATGCCAAGTGGATACTATTAAAAAAAGAGAATATTTGTTTTGCGAAATACATATCCCCTTGGAGTCAATTTAAAATGATTTTTCTGTTGTGTTGTGAACATTTTAATTTTCAAAAATAACAATTTATAATTATAGAATTCGATATAGAAAAAAGGATGTGTTAGTTTATACTGATGTTAAGAGAACGGGTTTTTTAAAAGCGTAATGAAAAATAATCGGATTCAGCCGGCATTTAAACTGGCAATCAGCCTGATGACCGCTTGTAGAAAGAGGGGTTGTGATGAGTTAATATTCCGCGTGAAATGGGTCTGACTGCAAAAAGGTCGACATGTACTTTAACGCGAATAATGTTACAAAAAGGATAATTGTGATTATTTCAACTACCAAAAGGACATAGATAGATAGATAGATAGATAGATAGATAGATAGATAGATATGAATATTCTGAGATAGATAGATTGATAGATAGATACATAGATACATAGATAGATATGAACAGTTTGATATATATATACATAGACAGATAGATAGATAGATATGTGCAGTTTGATATATATATATATATATATATATAGAGAGAGAGAGAGAGAGAGAGTGGGAGCGAGAGGGAGATAGACACATAGATATGAATATTCTGAGAATGATAGATAGATATGTGCAGTTTGATATATATATATAGATAGATAGATAGATAGATAGATAGATAGATAGATAGATAGATATGTGCAGTTTGATATATATATATAGAGATAGATAGATAGATAGATAGATAGATAGATAGATATGTGCAGTTTGATATATCTATATATATAGAGAGAGGGGGGGCGAGAGGGAGATAGACAGATAGATATGAATATTCTGAGAATGATAGATAGATATGTGAAGTTTGATATATATATATATATGAAGAATTTTTTGAAAAAACAAAAAAATCTTAAATGTAGTTAAATGAAAGAAAACTACATTTAAGGATTTTTTTTGTTTTTAAAATTTCTTCATTCTGTCGGATTTATATATCCATTCTTGCTTATATATATATATATATATATATATATATATATATATATATATATATATATATATAGAGAGAGAGAGAGAGAGAGATACATAGATAGATAGTATCGAGAAAATCATAAAGTTGCACAGCAATAGAACTCGAACTAATGTAAAAATCTTAATCATAATGCAAATACCATTGGAAATATTCTTAAGGATAGTGACCAATGTAATTGTAGGAATCCTAACCAATTCCCATTATGGAATAAATGTTTAACCGAATCTCTTGTGTATCTTTGTTCTATCTCTGCAATAGAAAATGTGAAAGTTGAAAAGTTCTATATTTGTAGCATTAAGAATTCTTTCAAAACCCTATGGAATCAACACATATCGTCTTTTACTAATAATACTTACAGAAATAATACTTCACTTTCAAAATATTTTTAGAGGATGAAAGTTGAAAATAAAACATCTAAAGTGAATCGGAAAATTTTTAAAATGGCAAGGACATGTAGACACTTATATGAGCCTTGTCTTCTATGTTTACAGGAGAAAATTCAGATTATCAGTTTCTTGAATAGGGATAATTTATTAAATCAAAGATCTGAATTAATGGTTAATTGTAAATATATCATACCTTTGAATCTATAACCTTGCTAGTGTTTGGAATTTTAAATTTGCTTCTTATATTTTTGAAAAACCTTGTTGCACCATATAAAGCTTATCTTTCGGCCAGTAAGATCCACGTAGTATAATTTGTTCAATATTTTTCTTGTACAGTTGGAAATATTTAGTATGGAGGTAAATGCATTCGGCTGACTTTTTGACATTTTCCATTGTATTGATTTTATTAACACCCAATATAAGACCCTTTAGTTAACAGTTGCATTCTATTTTGTATGATATATATGTTTTATTTTATCTATATGTTTAAATAATTTTGTTAGATTCATATACTTTTTTAATAATTTCGTTAGATCAATTTGTTTAAACTTTCATTTTATTTCTTTAAAAAGCCATATTAGTTACCAAATATGAAAATGTAAAATTCAAAC